CGATCGAGACACGAGGAAGCGGTGAAAATAGCGTAATGAACGCTCTGCGCTTCCCTTCTTCTTCTTCTTTTTTTTTTTTTGCATCACGACATTACTTTTTTGTATGAATATTTTTTATTTTTATTTATTTTATTTATTTATTTTTTTTTTCGATGAAAATTATGCGTCAAGGAAAGAACTCGCAAGAGTAAAATGTGTTGAATTTTTTTTCCATTTTTGGAAAATGGCGAAATGATTCGGTTTCCACGTTCCAAACTCCTTTCCATTGCACACTTACTTGAATTCGCTCGAACGTTTGGCCACATTCAACATAGCAAACTTGAAAGTCAATGAGTTAGCCAAGCATAAATCGCAAGCGCTATGGGAACCGGCTGTTCGAACGTGCAAATACCACCAAGAAACCTAACAAAAAAGTACAATATTCTTCTATTCTTTTCTTAACACTTCGCTTTATCAAAACCTGATTATACCTGCATTACTTTTATCCCCACTTTCTCTTTCTTTCTCTCTTATTACTCACTCCATTCTTTCCGGAAGGACTGTTTTCGACCTGGATTTTCTTTGTCGACCCCCTGTCGAGAGAGCGACAACAAATGCCTTTCACGTATTTTCCAACCAATAAAACATGGTCGACGTTGTAGAACAAACAAAATTTTCTCTTTTTAAATCCGCCTGCTAATATTATTATCGTTAAACAACCAAGCACCTCTCATCTTACTCATCGATTTCTTCTTTCTTCAAAATTCCTATCGCTACTCACAAATTCTGAATTATGAATATCGCCTTTTCGAAAATAAATCTCTTTCATACCATTACTCATCCTTCAAACACCGAGTCGGTTCAATTCGCCAATTTCTCGAATCTCCTGAAAATTCTTCAAATTCTTTCCACGATTAGCCATGAAATACGTACAAAAACGCATACACTTTCCATCATTCTATCGTATCTCCTTCGCGATTATTCATCCCCAAAGAATACCGATACCGATTTCTCCACCCTCCGAACTTATTGTCCCTGGCCGTATTGCGTAAGGACACGGTTCGCGTTCAGCGAACAATTTCGGTTGGTGTGGGTGTCGATGAGATAAGCGAGGGCAGCTCGAAAAGAGAGAGAGAGAGGAGACGGTGGAGAAAATGGAGCAAAGGAATGGGAGAGGAGGGGTGGAGGGAAGGAGAAGGCCGACGATTCGAATCGTCCCGCGGCCACGAGTTGCCCGAGGACTCGCCACGTTTATCGACCGGCGAATCGGCCTCTCTGTCGCGCTTAACGATCGGATAAATTTATAACGCGAAGGGGCGAACACGGAGGCGATTTCGACTAATACGTCCTGCATAAACGTCGCCCGAGACGTTCGTCGATAATGAACGGCCGCCACGGTATTCCTCTCGAGGAACGAGGGCGCGATAAATGAGGAACGGAGGATCATCATATCGGATGTTTTTATTTTCCACGGTTGAAAGTTGCGTTTGCAAGCTTGGCGTTTCGATAAAAGTTTATTTTAAAGATTTAGCTCTTTCTTTTCGTCGTTTTTTATATATCAATATAGATTAATATAGATTATGTAATATAGATGTAATATAATATAGATTAATATAGATTTATATAGATTAATATAGATTTTACATCGTAACGATGTAATATAGATTATCGATAATATAATAATTCCAATAGATTCTAGAGATTAATTGAACAGACGAGATATTAGATAAAATTGATCTTTTTTAATAATAATAGTGATTAAAGTTTAGAGGGAGGGGAAATGTAGAAATATTTTGATTAAATCAAACGGGAAAATGAAATACTATCTTTATGAATAATGTTGTTCGCGTTAGTAGATAATAACTGCAATTGCTTCAAATGCGGCACGCTATCATCTTACCAATGGAAAAAGAAAAGAAAAAAAAACAATCACACGTGTGAATAACTGACTTCTCGCTCATCTCAAATTCCCTCGAATCATCACTACCGACCAGCTTGATGATTCAGCTGCCTGTCTTACCGCTGAACGTGCACGGTGAAGAAGAATCATTTCTACACGGCCGTTCGAGGAAATTTTCGATGCGAGGCGAATCGAAAACCGATTCTCTAAAAATTCTGGTGGAGAAGAAAAAAGGGCCAACGCGAGAAACGCGTTGTCACCTTCGTTGCGAAAATAATCCGAAAAAAAGGATCGCGGAACCAGCTCGAAAAATATAAAGCGTTGGAACGAACGAGCTGTTTACGAGGACAAGTACAAGGATCCTCGGTCAAAAATCGGGCCCCTCCTCGACCGGCCGATACCGGTCTCGGGCCACTCGAGTTATCGTTTCTCAATCGATTCGACCGCCGTGATAACCTGATTTAACGCCATGTGTCGGTGACACATCGGCGAACGAAATGGAAAATCGATGGAGCGGAATGCGTCTCTTTGTCTCGTAAATCTATCGACAAATCCCTGTGCGGTACTTAACGTGACTTCATCCTCATCTTAATCACTTTCGATCGCTGGAGAAATTATATTTTCCACGTTTACGATCGATCACCGTTATACATTCACAGAGAACAATGAAAGATCGAGTGAAAAGGCATCAGGTATATAGGAGACAATTTTAAAAATGAGTCCTTGATTTTAACGAGATATTCCCAAAAATTACAAAAAGTATTACAGAAAGTGATACGAATATAATTTTGCTTGGTAATTATTAGTAGCAAATTCTCCTTTTAAAATTCCTTTTCGTAAATAAACGTATTTATAGCCCATAAAAATGAAATTTTCAAAATCTCTTCTGTCTCCTTTACATCCTTTCGGAAGTAATTGATTTAAAAAATATATACTTACGGAAGAAGAGCAGGTGTTCCTTAGCATTTAAAAGAAACGGACAATATTTCAGAGGAAATTCTTCGAAATTTTTCTTCCAACAACATTTCTTCCAATTGTTCTCAAATCTGTTCAGTTATGGACCGTGATCGCTTCGTTCCATACCCAGAAACACCTAGACACCTAGAGGACGAATTTACAAAATTCCCTTTCGCATCACAGGACGCGTATCGAAAAGGAAAGGAAATCGGTTGGAAATCGCGAACTGTATCTCGATGTTCACGAGAGGAATCAAGCTATCGATTGGACGAGAGGTCGCGTGGCGGGATCATTAACGGTGCGCTAGCATCAATCCTCCCTCTCTCGGGCGCAAAAATGCCTGGCCTACGTTGGTGAATCGTGCTCTAGGGGGCGGGGGGAGGAGGAGGATGAGGGGTGCTCGCACACAATCGCGCCGGTCCCTCGCTGCACGCACGTGCGTGTGTGGGTTCCAGCACGCGTGGGCGATGCTGTGGCACGCGACACGACCGTTACACGTTCGAAACTGACGGTGGCGGGGCGGCGAGAAAGGACGAGGGGTGAAATTCTGAAAGGGGAACCGGGCGGATTGCTGCGTATATGCACCAACACGCGCATGCCTCTTACTCGTCGGTGAGCACGTGAAAAGGCGGCTGTCGTGTAAAGGGAGGGGAAGAAAAAGAAAAAAGAAAAAAAAAGAAAGAAAAAACGGCGCAGCAGCCAATACGACACTCGAGAGCGCGCACTCTTATACGTATACATATATACACATATATATATAAATACACATTTACAGAACAACTTATTGGAGGAAGAAAGAAGTACGAGAACGAGAGGGGAAGATTCAGGTAGACCGAACGGAAATTCGAATAGAAAAATGTGAGAGCGGCACGTTGGAGAGGGGAGGGGGGAGGGGGAGAGAGAGAGGGTGCAAACGTATCCAGGAACGAGCGAGTAAGTTGGTTTAACCAGTAAGAGAAGGGAGACACGTTGGCGTTGAATCGGTGGTGCATGTGCACCGACGACAACGTAGAGGTGACGGGTCGTTGGGGCCAGGTCTCGAGCAGTGAGGGGTGGTAATTCTGGAGGGGAGGGTGTGTGTCACGGTGGGGCCCCGGCATCTGCTCTCCGTACAACGACGCGACGCGGGAAGGAAGGAGAAGGAGAGCGAGACGCGGTGTCCCTGTCACTTTCCAAGTGGGACAGGGACGGTGGTGGACGAAAAAGGGGAAATGGGGAGGGAAAAAAGAAGGAAAAGGGTGGGAGCGAGAGGGGAGAGGCAGGAGAGGAGCGCAGCAGGATAATCGCGTCGCACTCACGTCGCATCCTGCACCTCCTGTTGTTGCACAGGAGAGGGAGTGGGGGTATACGCGAGTCGGCGGAACAGATGCCCTACCTCTGATTGGCCGTTGGCCCGCGACCGGCCGTCCCCTATTGGCGGGTAGCGCGGGGCCCGCAGGCCTGCATTGGCCAGGCAGCACGTGCGGGCCACCTGCACCTGGTTGGTGGGGCGATGTGTTATAAAAGGCCCAGACGCACCCCCCTGCCAGTCAGAGACCGGCTTGCAGCCGAACTGTTTTTAGAATCTCGAGTTCTCACGTTCCTTCAAACATTGTACACTCGAGTTCACCCGCCAACCGTTTATCTCTCTCCTTTTTTTTCTTTTTTTTCCTTTTTTTTTTTTTTTCTTCCTTCCCCTCTTCCTCCACCTTTACTATCCTCTTCCTTTTCTTTTATATTCCGCTCGTGACATCGAATCACGTTTAACCTCCGGTGCCGGTCGAACAGACAGTTCAGTTCACTCCCGACGAGCGAACGGTGAACATCAATTTCCCGCTTCGAAGAAGGAATCATCGTTCCGTGTGTTTGCTACGAGAAAGTGGATAATTGTCGAGGAACGAGAAAGAAGAAAGGAGGACTGTTTTATTTGGGACTAAATGTGACAGTGAAGTGATCAAATCCCAGAGGATTATCTTGACAATTTCGTTTTATCTCTGATACAGAGGAATATATACAATATATACACATATAGATTTGGTGTGAATCAGTGCGAATCGAACGATCGGGAACAATTTGGGATTAAATATCGTAGTGTCACGGCTTCGCGGATATTCCATATACCTGCGAACTGCCGACGCTAATTCCTAAAGAGTGTGAAGATCACGGTGAAAAAAAACTTGTCAAGATGCTGGTCGAAGAAGTGCCGAGAAGCTTCGTGAAGAAGAACAACAATTACAGCCACTGTCCGTTGAAAAAACGGCCAGTCCAGATGCTGGACGAAGAAGTGTCGGAAGTTAAAGGTGAGTCTCCGATGCTTCGATTTATTTGTTCATCATTTTTCATTCCCCTCCCAACTCCTCTCCAATTCTCTCCGATTTCTCTCCAAATCCAAAAAATTTCAAATCCAAGAAAAAAAAAAAAAAAGAAAAAGAAAAAAGAAAGAAAGAAAAAAGAAAATCACCTCGCCTAAGACGAAGTTTCCTTTTTTTTTCTTCTCCAGAAGAGATAGAAATCGATGTCGTCATGGACGATATACCCGAGCCAGAGAACCTGAGTACAAAGCCGGAAGATTTGAGCAAAACGGCGGAACGTAATCAGCAACAGGAGCAGGAGGCGACCGAGCAACGGGCGTCCAACGATTCTCCTTCGCCGATCCCGAAAATCTCATCCTCGCCCCCGTTGATGAGCAGGCCGACTTCTCCGAACGCGTTACACGGCCACATCCACCCCGTGCACCATATTCATCATCATCACCATTACCCGACAAAAGTGATCACGCCACCGGTTGGAATCGCGCCGATTCACCCGGTGGCCAAGAAGGCGCGAGTGGAAGTAATCCAGCACGATAATTCGTCGTCGACGGGCGCCGTGACGGCCACGCCCGCCCCCCTGCACTTCATGGCGAGCAAAGCGCCCCTCGAACCTCTCAATTTGAACACACCGGTCGAGTCGTTGCCGCATTACGCGGCTCCAGCGTGGGCGCGGACGGCTCCTCTTTATCCCCCTCACTATCTCCCCTACCCGGCAGCGTATCACCGTTACCATCCCGCTGGCGCGGAGCTGTACCCATCCTATCCGATGCCCGCTTATCCACACTCGTCCCCGGAGCATCATCAGGCGGTCTCGCCGCCGCCGCACAGCGCCCTCACCTGTCCAACGATACAACGACCGATCGCGAGAAGTTACGCGCACTGGGCGAGCCCGGATCACTGCGGCCTGTCCCCGACGAGTTCGTTGGGGTCGGGATCGTTGAGGTCGCCGCCCCCAGTCACGCCGGAGGATCTGTCCTCTCCCGGAAGCGACAGCGGAAGATCGTCGGCCGGCAGCACGTCGGCGGGTAGCGCGATCGTCCATCCGAAAATGGAGAAATCCGGAGTGTCGAGCAGTTCAACCGCGTCCATGTCTTCGAATTCATCCTCCTCCTCGTCCTCTTCTTCGTCGACGTCCCCGAGATACCAGTGCCCGGATTGCGGTAAATCGTACTCCACCTATTCCGGGTTGTCGAAACACCAACAATTTCATTGCGCTGCGGCTGAAGGGCAGGCGAAGAAATCGTTCTCGTGCAAATACTGCGAGAAGGTGTACGTGAGCCTGGGCGCGTTGAAAATGCACATCAGAACGCACACGTTGCCTTGCAAGTGCCATCTCTGCGGGAAAGCGTTCTCCAGGCCTTGGCTCCTCCAAGGGCACATCAGAACGCACACGGGGGAGAAACCGTTCAGCTGTCAGCATTGCAACCGCGCGTTCGCCGACAGGAGTAACCTGAGGGCGCACCTTCAGACGCACAGCGACGTGAAGAAATATTCGTGCACCTCGTGCAGCAAAACGTTTAGCAGGATGTCATTGTTGACTAAACATCAGGAGGGTGGATGCCCGGGCGTAACAGTCCCGATGGGCTACGGTTCTTGAGGACATTGACGAAGGCGAAGGCGTGGTGGTGCGCGGTCGTACCGAACGAGGGGATCCCTTTCCACGGGATTCCTTCCGACACGTTCCTTTATTAAGAAAAATAGTACGTACTTTTTTTAAACGGTTCGATTGATCGAAGTGCCTTACGCGTTGATTACGGAGTACAAAAGAGCAAAATAGAATATAGAGGAATTAGACGGAGACACGATCGGAGAAATTTCTTTCGGGATCAAGAGGGGGGAGGGGGGTCGATTTCTCGGTGAAATTCGTGTTTAGAGGGGGAATAATAACAAAAAAAAAAAAAAAAAAAAAAAAAAAAAAAGAAAAGTAATTTGACCGAGACTTGAGAAGATGGAGACACATCGAGTACCTGGCTTTCGATTAAAATTCGCGCTCGTGAAACAAAGAGGTGAATTTTAAAACGGAATCATCGATACAACACAACGTCGAGGAACTGAATTCGAAGACATATTTAGATACGCGTTCTCTCGAAGGGTTTTTTTTTTTTACAGCGGGAGGGAAAAAAATTGGATCGATTCGTTCGAATTTATTTCTCTCTTTTGAAAGATGAAAGATGATTGATCATTTCTTAATGTTTCTCTCTCTCTCTCTCTCTTTTCTCTTTCTCTTCTCTCTCTCTCTCTCTCTCTCTCTCTCTCTCTCTCTCTCTCTTTCGTTCTCTTTCTTTTCGTCGAATTTCCTTCGTCGTCCCGTTTGTACATAGTTTCGGTGTGCGCGTGTGTGAAAATCGGTGAGAATGGGTGAGTTTTAACGATTGTACTTAGAGGACGATACACGAAGAGACGATTTTATTGTCGTACCCTTCGAGCGAAATTTTGCCGATGAGAGAATCGCAGGAAAGAATCGGATGAGAAGAGTCGATGTATAACCGCTTGACGCGGTCCCGTGAAGCTGACGTGCCATTTTTTTGTATTTTTTTTTTTTTTTTTTTTTTGCGCCTATTTTCTTTTTTATCTCCCTTGATAATTTCCGTTTTCGATCGATTCGAGCGGATACACGTACACGCGGAAAAAGTGATCTTCGTAAGTGACATCGCTCATTTGCTCCTTTTGAAAATGAAAAAAGAAAAAAAATATATATATATATATATATATGTAGAAGAAAATGAAATAAACAAGAAACGCGTATATATTGTGCGTAATCGTGCAGTAAAGTGCCATTTTTTTTTTTCGAGATCGTGTGCCACGTGCGAGCATCGATTGTAAATATATATATTGTTTGAAAGGCACGCACGAGAAAACGAAGTATTATTAATTCGTCAGGACGTGGAACGAAGTAAAAACGAGAAAAAGTATCGACACGGTCCAATGTTCGAGTTTTCTCGTTTCTTTTTTTTTTTTTACTTGCCTTTTCGAGATAAGATTTGAATTTTGATGAAACGAGAACGAGAACGCAAAACGATGGTAGAATCGGAGAGCGAGAAAGCTAATATTTTACAGTTCATTTTGTCTTTTCGTTTTTTCCCCCCCTTTTTTTTGTACTTTTTTCTTTGCGTTTTCTTTTTTTTTTTTTTTTTTTTTTTTTTCCTCTCTTGTAAATCACTGTAAGTTACTCGAAGAAACTAGTCATTGTATAAATATAATCTAATTTGTGCGAGGAATAGGAATGAGAGGCTCGCTGCGAGGTGAATTACTTTGATTGGTCTGTTTGTATATTCCTCGTAGAGAGATCGCTCGAAAAAGATTATATAAATTAAAATGATCGAGCCGTCGAAAAAGACGATATATCCGTGGTATATTTTTTTCTTTATATTTGAAATATATTTCTGTAAAAAAAAAAAAAAAAAAAAAAAAAGAAAAACGAGAGAAAATGAGAAGCGTTGACTGGCTCAGGGCGAGTAGCTCGCTCTTTCTAGTTTTTTTTTTTTTTTTTTTTTTGTAAAGAAAAAATAACTGCTATTTGAGATATCACTTATATATAAAGATATTTTATACGAAATAAATTACTTGAATTTTAAAATCTTACAGAAGTTTACGACGATTTTACCAGACCCGACATCCATATTATCCATCTTTCGTCTCTTTCGTTAAAAATACATCGACGTTAAAATAAATTACCGTAATCAATTTCGATTCCTTTAACTTTTATTACGAATATAACTCGGTTATGCCGTTCCATCTTTCAGAGTACTTACTCTGTTTCTTTATAATCGTTAATAAAATAAACGCAAACGTTCTTTAAATTATAAGAACGGACGCCTTTCATCCACGTTGTCCAAGCCAATACACGTATATACCCTCTTACCCGGTTGGCTGGCTCGTTTCTTTACAAACGGAGCCATTGGAAGCCAACCATATACTCCGTCATTCAATCCCAATCATTTTCCCAACTCCCTTTTTTTTTTCTACGCAATCAAACGTATTATACACCGTTTCGATTAATTATTCGATAAAAGAAAACCATCACGTCCTAATATTTACTCGTTATCATCGTATTCGCACTGATTAGACGTTAATTTAATTTCAGAATAATTCCGGTTTCGGTGCCATGGAAAAATTTGCCATCTTCGAAAAATACATCATCATCATCATTATTATTATTATTATTATCCAACATCTATGAACGCGAAAGATTAATTACTTCCAAGCCCGATCGTCAATTCGAACGACGACTTAACTCGTCGTTAACTCTCCCTCCAACAACAAGTATTAATAACTAAGCCCGACAAGCCTGGAATCAAGCGGTGGTGCAATTAATGAAACTTCATCCCGCGCCGCGATAAGGAATCAATCGAAATATATATCGTTGGGCGGCGATTCGAGGCGCGAGGAAGGGAGCGCGAGATGCGATCTCGGCGGACACCTCGAATATCGGAACGGGCTCGTTATCGGGGAACAACGGCATAACTTTCGACGGCGTGCATAATAATGCGCTTTGTCTTTCGACAAACAACGCGACTACGCGGATCCTGTTTATCTCTCCATCCGAGTCGAAGGAGGCTGAGGATACCACGATAAAAGCGATTGTTGCCAGCGGCCAGCCTCGGCCCTTTCGAGACGAATCCAATCGATTCGATTCGATTCGCGGCGGGATGGCGACCGACCTAGGATTAAATATCCACCCTTGACTTGCCACGGAGCGATCGCATTCCGCGAGGCGACAGATTTCTCGACGCGAATGGGTAAATCTAATCCTTTTTCCTATCTGTGGAAATGGTTTACCAATAATTTTTTAATCGTCGATTTCGAAGAGAATAATCATTTTCTTTTTAACTTTTTTTTTTAAAAATAGGTACGATTTTTTGTGTAGGAGAATCGTGGAATTCGTGAAAAATTGCATCCCGTGCCTACGATATCTCGATTAGATAGAGACAAAGTGTGAAGTTTCGTGAAAGAAATGGAGAACGGGTGCTCCAAAATCAACGTGCAGAGTTTCGATAATAAAAGGAGAGAAGAAAGAGAGAGAAGGAAGCGAGTCGCATTAACGCGTTTAAATAAGAATCGAATGGGATGGGATAAAAGAATCATACACGATACAAATCTGATTTACCACTTTGTTATAGAGACGAGGAAACGGTTTTCACGATCGGCACGAGGTATCAGCCTCTTCGTCCGACTTATTCACACATAAGTTCATTCATAGCCGTTGGCGGGGCGTACAATGGTCTTTTAGCGAAGCAAACAACATATGGCGGGCAAACGCGTGTTCGAAACGCGTTCAATTCATTGGCAAGCGCAAACGGGCTACCTGCGCCGCGTATTAAATCCCACGCGCTTTTGCCACGTACCAGCAATTGAATCACCGCTCTCTGCCTGCCCTCGATCCAAGCTTTTTGTCCAATCGCCTCGCCCATATGGATGCGCTAAATCGCACAACGAAATCCCTCCCTCCCCTTATAGTCACACTGTGTCGCGCGTTATTAAACGCTTCTTCTCAAGGCTACTTGCCTATTAAATGTCCGTTTAAACGTGATACAAAGGTAGGGATGCAATTTGCTATATTCGAAAAAAGGATATTATTCGAGGATATCGTCGAGTAATTTTTTATTACATTTTTTTGATACGTGTAAATATTTACATTAATAATTTGTGTCGATGTTTGAATTATGCGACTATCCATTCGAATTCGTTCCATTATATTTTCCAGTTGGAGTAGTATTTTGTTTCTAATTATAGTTGGAGTAGTGTATTGTTTTCGGACTTCGGAGGCGCCAAAATCGGCGGTGAAAGTCAAAGGTGGGCGGAAAGCGGCTTGTCGCGGAAATTTGGCTACATAGTATGCGGGTTCGAAACCTTGACAATTTTGCGGATCCTTTGATCGTGGATTTACGAGGATTTACGAAAGCGGGCAGCTTGTCAAAATTGACGAAATTTTGCACGATGTCTAATAAAATGACGTTCGCTTCTCTCTTTCTTTTTTTTTTTTAATAAACACGTAGTCATTTATGATCATCCATATTTTTACGATCACTATATATATATATATATATATCCGCAGTCTTTTACGGATATTTCTCTTGTACAAAAATAAAAATTTTAAAAACAATCATGACGGCTCTTCGCAAAATTAAAAATCTAAAAAATTGAACCATCGCTGAGAAATAAATTTCATTCCTTTCTTTCCTTAAACGCAAAATTTCCTCAAATTCCTCGGAAAAAGAAAGAAATAAATAAAGGAATAAAATTATATGAGGAAAGTTTAAAGGCAGCAGGTAAAATCTGGGCCGATTCTTCCGCAGAAATCTGGCCGTGGCTAATGTCCGCCGGATGACGGGGCCCCGAATCGACAGGAAATTTCTCGTTCGGGCGGACAGGTGGTCGTTACTTTCAAGTACGGCCCTTCGTATGCTCCTCGTACTTACACGAGTGTATACGTGTCCGTGCAAGAAAGTGTGGAAGCAAAAGCTACCTTGGCCCCTGGGCTTTTATGGCGACTGGTCCGATCGAACAGGTGCCCCGCCGCTTCGTGTATATGCTCGGGTAAGAGGTTCCATTATTCCACGCCGGTGTGTATAGCTCGGGGAATATGGCGTGCAAAGAGTCTCGGGCGAAGAAAAGCGAAGTCGGCGCAACGCGCAAAGCTGGCCAAAGCGACAAAGGGTCGTAA